TTTGGTTTTTTTTTTTTTTTTTGCTTTTATCATTTTGTCTGGGCCTGCCCTGGGGAGCTGCATGAAACAAATGACAAATGTCATTCTGTTTCCACATACTGTAATTCCTTTTCATGTTTTTAAATGAGTCTTATGTCTCCTTCATTGTTTTAGTGTCATCTCCTGTAACTTAGCCCCAAGCTTTTACTTTCTCCCAGACTCATTTATAGCTACTTTTAAAAAAAGAGGGTGAGAATAAAAACCAGAGCCCCTTTAAGATAAGATTTGAAGAGCTGGGCATGGTGACGCAGGCCTGTAATCCCAGCACTTGAAGCTGAGGCAAGAGGATTGCCATGAGTTTGAGGCCAGCCTGGACTACATAGAGAGACCTTGTCTCCAAACAAATAAGACAAAGAAAAAACCAGAGATTTGAAGAAGCACTCCAGGAGGCTGAGGCAGGAGGATCACATTGAGTCCAGCCTGGGGAGCCTAATAACTTAGGGGATCCTGTCTCAAAATTGGAAATAAAAAGGACTAGTGATGTAGCTCAGTGTGAAGACCCTTGGTTCAATCCCCAGTCCCACAAAAAAATAAATAAATGAGATTTGAAAGCAGAAACCATTTAGCCAACTTAATAGGCATGATGAAAATGACTCATGGGCATAGTCTTGTAGTCCTCTGTCGTCACAGTACAAATCACTGTGAGCCCAGTGCTCCACATGGATCCCTCGTTTAATCCTTAGAGTTCTCCAGGGGAGCCTTTCATTATCATCTCCACTTTACAGGAAACCGACTGTAAGAAGTCAAAAGCCTGACATCAGCAACAATCTGTAACAGGGCTTGGACTTGAATTGGGTGGCGGAGTCCACCCGGAGCATCCTGTGCAGCTCCCAGTGCTGCCCAAGACCTTCCCAGGGCTCTGTGCCCCCAGAGGAAGCCTTGCCTGTCCTCGGTGGGCAGCCTAACCCCTTCAAGGAAGGAAAGAACTTCCCAGCTGTGACAGAAGACATGGCGGGGACTAGGGGAGATAGCCTGGAGGGAAAGGCAGCCCTGGGCTCCTCCTGAGCAGCCAGCAGCTTGAGAAAAACAACCTGGGAGGAGCCTCTGGATCCACAAAACCCATGGCTCAGGCAGCTGGAAGCCTGCCAAGCAGTGGGGCACAGAGCTGGCTCCACTGTCAGCATGGAATGTCAAACAGTGCAGTGACCTCGTGTCGGAGCACAAACAAAACATCGCTCAGTGCAAGGCTCCCTGAACACAGGGCTTTCTGTCTTCTCAGGGACCATTACAAGTTGGGAGGCCTAATGTCCTTGGATAGCTGCCATATTCAAGTGGCCATAAGTGTGATTTCTTTTTTTTTTCCCAGCAGCAAGCATCGAAAGTTGAGAAGGTGATTTTTACCACTGCAGTACCAGTAGCCAGTAGCACAGGTATGTAATTCCATGTTAGCTTTAAAAGAAAGTCACCTCTTTGGGCGCCTTGAGGGAGAGTACATTCTTCAAAGTTTTTGAGCCTTTAAAAATATTTATGCACCCTATTTAAATTCACATCATATTGTTCATTAGAGTTTGTTCATGCTCTCACAACTACTGGAAGTTAATGTGCTGGTGTAAAGACCACAGGCAATCTTCTTTCCAGTAACAATTCATCCCTTCCAGATACAGCTTTTCAATGTACCCAGAAAAAATCTGAATCACAGTTAATGCTAAAGAGGGCAGTTGTTAATTTACTGGGCTGTTTTCTAATTACAGTGAGGAAGAAACAGCATCTGGGCCAGGTCGTACAGACCTGAAAAGTTCCTTTATCTCAGAGTCTTCCTTTTCAAGATTAAGAAACAGACCTTGCCAGGCACAGTGGTGCATGCCTGTAATCTTAGCACTGTGGGAGGCTGAGGCAGGAGGATTGCAAGTTTGAGCCCCTTCTGGGAAACTTAGTAAATTACTGAGAACCTATCTCAATTTTAGTATATGTGCTACCAAAACTGTACCAAGACACTACCTCAAAAAAAAAAAAAAAATCGGGGCTGGGGATTTAGCTCAGTGGTTCCGCCACCTGCCTCAAAAGTGCAGGGTCCTGAGTTTGATCCCTGGTACCAAAAAAAAAAAAGCTGGGACCTAAAAAAATAAAGTGACTTCCCAAGGTCATAAGTGAATGTGCAGGAGAGCTAGAGCATTGGCTCCCCATTCCCAACATGCTGTCCTGCACAGAACCTGGCTGAATTCAGAGCCTGTGTGTGCACAACACACATGGCATGGGGGGTGTGGGGGGGTGGGGGGTGGGCATAAATACCAATGTGCACCCATGCAAGGCCAGCAGTGTAAAAGAAGGTCAACTGACATGTATCACCTCCACACCTGTCAGTGATTGGGGCCACATAGAGGAGCAAGATGTCCTAGTGGTCAGAGTCTCAGTGGCCCTGTGCAGCATGGACAGGGCTGTAGAGGGAAGACAGCAGTGCGTGCACGTGTCTGTGTGTGTGTGTGTGTGTGTGTGTGTGGCAGCTGCTGGCTTCATCTGGGCTAGCCCTCTACAGGGCCCTTAGGGAAACTGCCTGGGGCAGCAGGAGGGGCAGCTGGGTGTTGGAAGGTGAGTGTAAGTTCTCCCAAAGAGCAGTGTGGTGTTGGGACTACAGGCCAGAGGAAGAGCCTAGAGGCCCAGAGCTATGAGGAAGGTGTCTGGGAAAGAACAGAGTCTGCTGTAGTTGGCATGGAAGCACAGCAGACAAGGGTCAGGTGGATCTGGATTCTGTGTGTGGCTTACTAAGGAAGGGGCTCTGTCTTGGGGAGATGGGGTGTGTTGGGCTTTTCCCCTGAGGAGGAACCAGGTCCAATTTAAAATAGGAACAAAGCCCAGCACATGGCATCCATCCTTCCCACCACTCCAGTCTCCAAGGCACCCAGCCCTCAGCATCTGTATACCCCTGCCCCTCATGCTTTTCCCCACAGCTGCTTGAAGAGCAGTATCTCTTGCCTCTCTCGCAGGGAGCTCTGTCCAGCAGATTGGCCTCAGTGTTCCTGTGATCATCATCAAACAAGAGGAGGCATGTCAGTGTCAGTGTGCGCGCCGGGACTCTGCCAAGTAGCAGGCAGCTGGTGGAGAAAGGGCTGTTCTTCCCCACCCCGTCCAGAGCTGAGCCCCTGGCCTGCTGATGGGCCCAGCCTGAAGTTACCACCCTAGACTTTGTCCTCACCCCTATTCCCTCGTCATCCTCCACCAGATCCTCTTCCTGTGAGCAAAGCAGACAGGCTGAGGCTTCTTCAGACTCTCAGACAAAAACGTTAAGTGCCATGGATGTGTCAGAACTCATGCCCTCCAGAGCCTGGACACCCCATTCTGATTCCCACTGAAGCACTGCTGCAGGGGGAGGAGGAGATGGGCCTGAGGCAGCTTCGGCAAGTGAAGGGCCCGTGTGCACTCGTCTCCAGGAAGAGGGTAAACAGGAAGCAGGAGGCACTGTGCCTACCATCATGGGGGCAGAAATTGGAAGGATGAAGAAATTCACTGTTTGAAAGCCTCACCTTCCAGACATATTTTCTTTATTCACATCCCAGGAACATCCATTTTAAGGAACTGATCTTTGGAAAAAAAACAAAAAAAACAACAAAAAAAGAAAGCTAAGTTATAAATGAACTGTTTGGCTGCACTGTATGTCACTTTCGCTTATTGTCATATGAATTTGGAAATTAAGGTTACTCGTATGCATAAAAATTCTAAATGAAAGGATGTGGTTTCCATCAATCTAGTACTGCCCATCACTTGCACTGGAGTCTTTGTGGATTGGGCAGGAGGGGTCAGTGTGTCGGGTTGTGCTTCTCCCTGTGTGTCTCTTTGAATCTGAGGCTGACATTTGCCCGAAGGCCAGACTCTCACTGTATCCAAGTCTGCAGTGGCAAGGGCAGGTGAAACAGCTGAGTTGGACAGGGTTTGGGTGAGGTGGCTTTGTTGTTTGTACTTGGTGTTGGTAGAGCTCAGGATGGATCTGCAGGCTGTCCCATAGCCCACTCTGCACAGATGGCAGCTCAAAGCCTGGCCCACCAGATGTGGGGATGATCTGGTTCTGGGGGAGTCCTAGGCAGGCTGTTGATTGCCATCTGCTGATGGTATGTGTGCAGAGTAGGCTCTAGCATAGTGATGGTGAACCTTTTAGAGCTTTCAGTGATAGCTCTGAAACAGCTGGCAGCAGCATGTGTGCCATAGGTTCACCACCACTGCTCTAGCAACACAGTCACAGCCTTTGCCTCTTTGGTTCTCTGAACTGCTTGCCAGAGCTTGCAGGTCACAGTGAGCTTTCCTTGAGGAACATCTTTGTTTTGTCCTAGAGTGAACATGTGGCTTAGGGTCAGTTTCCAGCTGGTAGGCTGCCTTCCTTTGAATGCTGTTTTCTTCTTCAGAGCAGAAGGGCTACATCTTGCTTCTTAGTAGAAGAGGCAGATTGAAGGGAGCTTGTAGGAGGTGGCGGGTAACTGGCAGGCCAGGTGTTCTGGTTCTAGGTTCTAGCTAGGCTTTTGGTTGCCCTTTTCCATCTCCACTCCTCTGGATTTTGCATACAGCCTAGTACAGTGCAAACAAGAATGTGACTTGCTCAACTTAGTCATGTGAGTTCTAAACAGAAAGGAAAAAAAAAAAATGATGATCTTCTACTCAGGGTAAAACAAAAAATCCCCCTTCCACCAAAAAGCCTGAAATGTTGCAATAAGTTGTCTCATTTGGAATGTTTCATTAAGTTGTGTTATAGGAAAATGTGTGTGTGTGTGTGTGTGTGTGTGTGTGTGTGTGTGTGTATGTAGAATTATATCCATCTGTCTGCCTTTGGCTCCAAGTCATTGCCTCTGAAAACAAAATACAGTGCACACTAGAATGGAAAGTTCCCCTCACCTGGCTGCTTAATGTAGTCATGAGGCCTCATCAAGCGCAGAAATTAGGCATGGATCAGAATGTGGAATAGGCCTCTCTCAAGAACTCTTCCCCTACCTCCAGCAAGGAGCAGGTTTCCATAAACAAGGCAGTGAGAGCCAGCCAGTGAGAGATCTGCATTGGTCCCTCTCCTGCTCTGAGCTTACCTTGGAGGCACATCACTTATCTTGGAGCTAGAGACCCTGCCTTTAGCAAGAATGTACAGGGACAAGCTTGGATGAGAGGGTAGTTTTGGTAATGCTGTTACTGCCGTGAGTAGAAATGGGCTTAAATGCAAACAGCTGATTTCTCATTCTAGAAGTTTAGACAGGAGAACTAATTTCTTTTTAAACTTTTTTACTGTCTGTCCCCAAAGACTGGTGGTTTTTGGCAACCATTGACCTCAGCAAAAGTTGATAAAGCAGGAGGAATCTTCTACCACAGTGGGCCAGTCTTCCTAGGAAACCATGTGCAAGTGAGGGTTGTCCTGGTTGTCTCTAGGCCTTACACCAATAGAAAGCTTTGAACTTGGACATGAAAGCAGTAGATGGGACCCCAGAGTTAGCTTGTGGCAGATAGTAGTTATGACCTTCCCACATGTCCATCCTCTGATGACCTGCGATTCTGGTTCCTGGGCCATGAGGTGGAAAGTAGGGGCCCAGAGGACAGGTGAGGCATCTATGGGTTAAATGTTGCTTCTTGGTAAGCCAGGGCTATCCTTATGTTGAGCCCTTCCCAGGTCACTGGCTTTTCCACTCTCCACAGAGGTGGTGAAGATGCATCTTAAGATTTTTCTAATTGAAGAAATTGAAGTGTCTGCCTTTTGTGGGTGGTTTGGATTACAAAAGAGACTATCAGATTCTGATCAGCTTTTGATAAATCAGGAGCGTGCTTCAAATGCTTAGCAGTGTAGGTTTATTCCACAGGGTAGGCAGACCTTCCTTCCATCCCTTCCCATGCTCCTTCCCTTCCCATCCTTCTCCCACAACCTTGGGCTCCAGGGTCAAGGACCTTGGCTAGGAGAGGTTCCCTGGCTACACTGGAGCTAGAAAGAACTTTCGTGAAGAGTGTCGTTTCCCAAACCCAGAAATGAACCTTGGGTAATTCTAGCAGGTATAATCAGCCTTTTCTTCTCCCCATGGTAACCATAACCATTTTCACCCTATAGGCCTATACTTTGGCTCCCACTAGCAACTCCAGTTAGACTGCCCCTTCTAGGGTGCTAGTCGGCACCAAGGAGACTTTGTGGACTTGGGAGGAGGTGGTAAGGAAACTAGCAGGGGCCACCAAACTGCCCTTGTGAACTGGGCCCTTCTCAGGTAGGTGGGTGGGGCACTGAGGGAAATGGCTGTCTTCCCTGACAGGGTCTGGCAGGTCTCATGGGGGCCTCACTAGTTTGGTAGCAGGAGGAGTGTCATTTATTGAAATTCACCCCCTTGAGGAGGTTATGGTACAAAGCCCAGGAGAGTCCTTGAGAGGTGACTCCTTCTCTGGGTAGAAAGGCAAGGGGCTGCTCGTCACCACCTCTGGGAGAGTCAGTAGATTGGAGAGTCATTTTCAGGTTCAAGACAGTGGACTGATGGGGATAATGAGGGTAGGTGGGTTTTCCTGAGAGACTTTGTATAATGTTGAATGTGTCCAGAGGGACAAGTTTGTAGAACCTCATATTGGTATATTAAAGAAATAATAAAATAAAAAGCACTTTAGGTTATTTTATCTTTAACCCAATTGCTGCAATTTCTGTTGTGTGTGTGTGTGTATATATATATATATATACACACACACACACATATATACATATACTTTCCACAAAGTTTTATTTTTTGCTCAGAATAAAAAGTTAAATTGAGGTGTGAAAAGAAAGCACTTACCTTGGTGCAATATGTGTAGCTTGATTGTCGTTGTCCCATGTGGCCCTGGCCTGGCCGTGTTTTTCCGCTCCCTCAGCCTGTGCTAGGAGGCTGTCTGTAGGGAAACTATTATGCATCCTCAGCAACTGCTCAATCTATGCAAGCCTTCCCTGTATGCCCCAGGGCGCCCCCTCAGCTCTCGGAAGAACTGCTGTGGGTGTTTTCTCCAGCTGACTGTTAAGGCCCTTTTTCACCACTTCTTGGTCCCTCGCCATCTTTCTTCCCCTCTTCACCATTACAAAGTGATGCCTGAAAGGAAGGAACAGGTTGTTCCTAGGTAGAAACCTGGCACCTTCTAGACTTTTATATTTGTGATCGTGTCCATTGTCCTTAAAGACTTCTCCAGTGTCACTGAAACCATTGATTTGTGGAACCGCAACAATATTGCTCAAGAGTTTACAATTTTCTAATATCACCAATCAGAAATATGTTTGGGGAGGGGTTTGGGGGTCAGGGTAACATGAATCATTTCTGTACTGCTTTTCATATCACCTGCGTTGGTTCTAAGAAAAAAGCCTTCCAGCCTCCATTAACAAAGCTACTAATAGGGCCGGGGATCTAGCTCAGTGGTTCTGGCACCTGCTGAGCAAGCGCAAGGTCCCGAGTTCGATCCCCGGTACCAAAAACAAAAAAACAAAGCTACTAATAATCTGTTTTATCATCTTTCTTCCTTCTCCCTCTCCCCCTCCCATTTAATCTTCAATTAATTTTTAGGCTCTAGACTACAGAAGTTTTAAATACACTGCACCAAAGCAGAAAGATTTGCATAGATGCTATATGCAAGTGGTTTTGCTGGACATAGATGGGGAATTGTCCATTCCTTAACATTTAGGGCAGCAGGGTTGGCAGTAAAATGTAATTTCTAAATTTGGCAGTAATGTGTATTTCTGATTGGTCATTCTATTTAGCCTATTTCTTCTTGCATATTCTTGTGAGGGGGAGAAGGGAAGGGTCCTTGTTTCTTCTCATGCCCTTTGGGGACACTAATGATCAGTCTGGGCATTTCTCACTATTATTCTTGATCAAGAGGGGTTCTCAGTCTGCATTGAAAAATGCAAATTAAACTGGACCTTTATGTCAAGGTGTACATAGTACAAGCTTTTTTTTTTTTTTAACTGGAAATGAGGTTTAAAACCACACACTACCCTTTTGGTGGTGTTCCCACTGGGCCAAAAATTGGTTGATAATGTCACTTTTTCAGCTCAATGCAGTTTCTATTTTTTCTTATGGGAAAATTTTTTCATAAAACCTTTTTTCACTAAAACGCAGGGGTGTTTTTTGCAATATCCTTGTTGTCCTTGTAGTGGTGCCAAGTCAGAGGCTTCTCTTGCCCTTTTCCTCTCATGTTCTCAGGCCTCTCAAAGGCTGTTTGACTCAACAGTCTACATCTTTTGTTGTATTTTGGCGAAAGTGGGGGTGGGATCAGAGTTCAAGGTAGCTGTTCCCTTTTCCTGTGAACTCCCCCTAGTCTCTTTTCCAGAAAGTGGCTAGAAACAGGTTTTAGTTCAGTCTCTTGCAGAAATCTTCTAGCCAGGAAAGGCAAGAGCCCCAGAGAGCCCTTTTTTGACACACATTAATCATTGGCTGGTAGTCTTGGTGACAGTTTTTTAAATCTTAAATAGTTTTATTTGGATTATGTAAAAGTCTATCAAATTTATTTAAGTGTGAAACATGGGAACAACAGACTTCCACTGAGCGATATGAAAACGTTACAGGTTCAGTACTTCCAAAGGAAGAAACCTCCAAATCCAAAAAAGAATAAATATGAATTTGTATTTTTGAAGAATGTGAAATAATGGTGTTTGCTTAAATGCTCATTTTGTATAAACTTAATATTGTACTTTAAAATATCTGCTAAGAAGTGAAAATTTAACATTTTGGAATTGAAGAAGCAATATTAAATACTAATGAAATCCTAATTAAATGCTTATTTAAATTTGGTAGTATCTGTGCATTTTTTCCCAACCCTGCCCAGGGCTGACACTTTTCTACCACTTCCCAACCCTGCCCAGCCATCAGTCTTGGAGAGGGGATAGAAAGGAAAGGTCGGTCACCAGGAGAGTCTGTAGGTTTCCTTTTAATCAAGGCTCTGCTGAAGGTGTTTTGTGGGACTAAGAGCCCCCAAAGCATGAAATGGACATGTAATACCACCTGGAACCCCCAAAGTGGGCCAGACCTCTCTGGCGAGCACTGCTGGTCCACCCAAATCCAAGTAGTCAGATTGGGTATTCGTTGGCTACATTTCAAAGCGCAGTAGTGCCTTCAGCCAGGATGAAGTGGGAGTGAACCCAGCTGCTAGCAAGAGCTGCCACCCCAGGCTGAAGGCCAAGTACCAGCCACCGCCTGTGAAGACTGGCCCCTTTACTGAAGGGAGTTTTCAGAGTCCAGCCACCAGCCCTGGGGAGGGAGAGACATCAGGGCACCCGGCTTGGGATGGTCAAGGCTCCGCAGCTCCATCACCAGCATCCTTTGGAAAACCACCTCTGGCGGAGACAGCTGGCTGGGGCGGCGCTCCCGGTTTGGCTGAGATGTTCTAGTTGGAAGGGAAAGGAAAAAAAGTGAGCCTGGAAGGAAAGGCCTTGGATTAGGCCCCGAAAGGATATGGCCACTTGGCATCTGGACAGTACTTAACTTTTTCAAAACATCTCACCCACATCAAAGGAGGTTAAGGGTAAAGCGGCAGGCACAGTCTTCCACCCTCCAGGGGAACTGAGGGCTTGGCCTGTCGGGCCAGTGGGCAGACCCCACCCGCACTCCCCAGGCCCAGCGCGGGGTGGGCACTGACCCCGCCACCAGCCGGCTCCGGGCGCCGACGGCCCAGCTGCCGCAGCATCTCCTCGCAGGAGGCGATGGTGTCCAGGAGCTGCCGCTGTCGCTGCTCCACCGCGTCCAGCAGCTGCTGGGCGCGCTCATCCCGGGGCGGCTGCGGGGGTGGCCTTCCGCCGAGCCCCAGCCCCGCCTTCCCGCGGTCCACGCCGGTAGCCTCCCTACCCCGGAGAGAGTGAGACACACAGGGTCAGGGCCGGCGCTTGGGCTCCGAGCCCCTTCCCCCCGCCCCGACGGGCCCCCTCTCACCCCCGTGACCAGTCTGAGCCCGGGCCCCATTCCATCTCCGCCTGCGCGGCCCGACCACCGCCCCCCTTTCGGCCGCCCCCCCTCCCCAGCGCTGCGCTAGGGCTCCGCAAAGCTGTGCCCCGCCCCGTCCCCACCGGTCTCCTTCAATCCTCCTGGGGGTCGTGGTCCCTTTAAGCGGCCCGGCGCGGAGGTGGGGCCGAGCCTCCCGGACCGGAAGCTGCTTAGGTGCGTCACTTCCTCCCGGAAGTGGGCCTGGGCGGATGTCTCCGGCGCGGCCGTGCACCGGACTGAGGGCCGCAGTGGCTGCCAGCATGGGGCTGAGCGATGGGCCAGTGGGCTCCGCCCGAAGCGGTCGCCTCTTCCGTCCGCCGACCCCCGCTCCGGTGGCGCCGGGGGCCCGGCTGTTGCGGCTCCCGGGGAGTGGGGCGGTGCAGGCCGCAAGCCCTGAGCGCGCCGGCTGGACCGAGGCGCTTCGGGCTGCGGTGGCCGAGCTGCGCGCCGGCGCCGTGGTGGCCGTCCCCACCGACACGTTGTACGGCCTGGCCTGTTCGGCGAGCTGCTCGGCAGCACTGGACGCTGTGTACCGCCTCAAGGGCCGCAGCGAGGCCAAGCCGCTGGCCGTTTGCCTAGGCCGCGTGGCCGACGTCTACAGGTGAGGCTGCCCCGACCCGGCCCCGCTGGGGGCGGCACCACGGGAGGGGTTTCCGGTGACAGGCTTGGGAGACTGAGGCGCAGAGAGCGGGAGGGGCTTGTCCTAGCTCACTGAGGAATCCGGAACTGGAAATAGGCACTGAGCATTTAACGTACGAAGGCTGTGAACCAGACGCTGAGACGCATCGATGAGCGAAGCAGGCAGGGCCCTATTCTCTCGGCGCTCTTGTGTGCGTACCGAGGGAGGCCCACGGAGAAAAAGGAAACATAGTAGCTCAGTTTGGTAACGAGTGCTTTGCAGAAGATAAAACGCCGAGCTTGATATGATACCTTATGACGGTGTCACAGCTGTACAGCTGTTATGGTCCCTGAGACAGCCGTGGGGGCTCCAAGATCGGGGTGTTTCTCTGGACTCCTGCTTTTTACTCAAAGTCTTAGGGAGGCAGGGAGACAAGCAGATCGCATTGTAGGCCCAAAAGGACTCTTTTCTTGGATCTGCCCAGATTCTGGCTCTTCACTTCAAGTGGATTTGTGCTTCTTCGTTTCCCAGGTACTGTCATGTGAAAGTGCCTGAGGAGCTCCTAAAAGAGCTGTTGCCAGGACCAGTGACCCTGGTGATGGAACGCTCAGAGGAGCTCAACAAAGACCTGAACCCCTTTACTCCTGTGAGTCAAGTTTTCTCCTTTTCCAGCTACCTGGCTTTCTCTGGGGTTCAGAACATATCTATTCCCTACCCCTTCTAACCTACCTGATGATCTTCTTTCCCCTTGCCTCAGCTTGTAGGCATCCGGATTCCTGACCATGCCTTCATGCAGGAGTTAGCCCAGATGTGCGGGGGACCTCTTGCTCTCACCAGTGCCAACCTCAGCTCCCAAGCTAGTTCTCTGAAAGTTGAGGTGAGAGGCTTTTCAGTCCTTCCCCTAGAAACACCAGCAGGCTAAACAGCGTTTCCTCTGAATCAGTGGGATAATGGTGGTCTGGAATTGCCTGCAGGAGAGTCTTTTGGCTACCCAGTTGGCATGAGTTTAGGAGGACATCCAAATAAAAGAATCTTTAAAAAGTTTTCTGTTGGGTCCAGGGATTTAGCTCAGTGGTTCTGGCGCCTGCCTCGAAAGCACAAGGTCCCGAGTTCGATCCCCGGTACCACCCCCCCCCCAAAAAGGTTTTCTGTTGAAGTTGGAGAAAACTGGTGTTCTCTTTCTAATGTCTTTATTAATAATAGGAAAGGCTATGATAATTAAAATTTCGTGGGGGTAGCATTTGTCTAACTACAAAGTTAGGCTGTAAGTCTTTACAACAGTGCTGTAAAGAAAGGTGAAAAAGTTAGGTTACTTCTTCCAGGTCACACAGCCATTAAATGGCTGACCTAGATTTTATGCAGTTTTTTCTCTCTCTTTTTTGTTTTCTTTTTGCAGTAATGGAGGTTGAACCGAGGGCCTTGCACATGCTAGGCCAGCACTCTACTGCTGAGGTTCATCCCCAGCCAGCCAGCCTGCCTGACTGGCTTCCTTCCTTCCTTCCTTCCTTCTCTTCCTTCTCTTCCTTCTCTTCCTTCTCTTCCTTCTCTTCCTTCTCTTCCTTCTCTTCCTTCTCTTCCTTCTCTTCCTTCCCTTTCTCTCTCTTTCTCTCTCTTTCTTTCTCTCCTTTCACCAGAAATTGAACTTGGGACCTTGCACTTGCCAGGCAGGCACAGCACCGCTGAGCTGTATCCCTGTGTGCATCCGCCCCCCCAGCCCTTCTTTAATTTTTATTTTGAGACAAGGTCTCACTAATTGTCCAGGCTGGCCTTGAACTCAAGATCCTCTGCCTCAACCTTCTGAGTAGCTGGGATTATAGCCGTAAGATTTTTGTCCAGTTTTTTACTCCTAACCTTGTTCTCTTACCTCTGCCACCACTCAGGTTAATTGAAAGTATCATCCTAATGGTGTCTTCGCTATGTCGTTTGGAATGAGTGGGGACATACGAAATTTCACTTTTCTTACTAAATTCAAGTTTAATGGAATACATTAGGTGGTTTTCTATGTCCAGGCCTAGAGAGTGGGATCAGAAACTGCAAGCTCAGCATCCTTCTCATTCTCAAACTGCAGGCTTTATTTGGTCTGGATAGCTAGCTGGATAGAGGTGGAGCAGGTAAGGATGGAACTGGGGTTCTTACCTTGTCAGCAATCCGTTGATCTGCTTAACACAGTAGTACATACCTGGTATTTGTGATTCCCCACCTCATTCCCAGCCCTAACTGCACTGCAGTGTCTTCACTGAAGGGCAGGGGGAGCCAAACCAGTCCTGATAGGAGTATCCTTCCCATAGTCGAAGGACTGAGTACTGGTAGCATGCACTTGCAGAGTCCATCCTGTTTCCTCTCCCTGCCCAGATTCAGAGCTCACTGAGATGCCAGATCAGAGCACCAGAGGTGGAAGGAAAGTCCTTATTTTGTAGGTCTGGATGGAGTAACTTGCATGCATCACCTAGATGTGGTGGTAAGCCCAGGGTTAGAGCACACATCTCCAGACTCCCACCCAGAACCCTAGTCAGTATTCTTACTCCTCCAAAACCTGAAGAGTGCATGGAATTTCCTTTCAGTGCAGCGAGGCCTTCTTTAAATTCTAGACAGGTGTCACATGGGGTTCTAACCAGGAGTGCCACAAACCTCAGAGGATGCTTGGCCTGGGGGCTATCACAGTGCCCTTGGTACTACTGACCTAAATTAAGTGAGATTCCCTTCTCTTCTTAGAGGAAGAGACTTCTTTCAAAACTGAGACCTGGGGCTGGGGATTTAGCTCGGTGGTACTGTGCCTGCCTTGCAAGCACAAGGTCCTGAGTTCGATCCCTGGTACAAAAAAAAACAAACCAAAAAAACCCTGAGGCCTCTGTCTTAGGAAGCAAATGCAGTGTGATTTGACTGGGGACACCAGAGATCGTGCCCATGCTTTTCCTTTTCCTCCCCAGGAGTTCCAAGACCTCTGGCCTCATTTGTCTCTGGTCATTGATGGGGGACCAATTGGGGATTGCCAGAGCCTTGAGTGTCGCCTTGGCTCTACTGTGGTTGATTTGTCTGTGCCTGGAAAGTTTGGCATCATCCGTACAGGGTGGTAAGTCCCTTTCCTGTGGTATTGGGGTAGAATTTGTGGAAAGCTGGAGAGATGTGAAGTAGCTATGACAAAATGAAGGTTGTCACTTGTCTTGTCCTGGCAGGGTGCAGGCAGGCATGGAGAAATGATAGATATGGTAGGACTAAATTTGCTGACTTTTTTGGGATTCACCAAGTGTTTGATGAACAAAGCATAAGACCAGTGAGTTTCAAGGCTCCAGGTCAACAGACTCTGGTGGGCGCAAGGGCTTTGAGAAGTCAGACTGTAACCATCCTATTTTGTCCTCTTCAGCGCCCTGGAACGCACTACAGCCACCCTCCAGAAGTACGGGCTGCTGCCCTCACATGGGTCCTGCTCATGAACTTGGGGAGAGGGGGTACCCACGGACGGCACTGGATACTGTGTGTCTTTCTGCTGGTAGTTGGTGAGGCCTCATTTGAAGAGGCCACAGGAGCCATATCACTAGCCTGAGCCGTTACCCAACATGTCTTTCTGAGCACTAGACCAGAAGCTACTGGCTTGGCTTCGCCTTTCAGGAAGGTGAAACAATTCTATAGTTTTGTGTATTGGGCAAAAGCCCAATAAAGAGGTGAAGAACATTCCTAACATGTCTTTATTTTGACATTTCTTCCCTCACTCTTTTAAACTGAAAAATAATTTAAGTAACAGATTTAGAATCTAGTGAGAATCTCCTCTGCTAGGTGGTGGCCTTTAAGATCTAAAGTGCCAAGAAGTGCTGGTACAGTTGAAAGGTCAGGTAAGCAAAGGCAAGAGCTTAGGCTTCTGAAACCGGAACCAGGTTGAGATAAAGATCATAGAGCTACAGGCCAAACAGTGCTCTGAAGTGGTTAGTTGGAGGAAGAGTAGTCACCATAATGGTAGGAAATCTGGTGGGGTGAGGGGAGGGCACAAATTAAACAATAGGGAAAATAAATCTATACTATCCTTTTAGCCAGTGACCTTTATTTATTTATAAAGTATAATTAAAATTATATGTATAGTGACTTTAATTCCAGTGTTCACTCAGCAGCTTTTTATCTTTATTCACATGTATACCAACTGTTAAAGTTGTAGTCAGGCATTTGAACTTTTTACTGTTAAAAAATGCTACTAGTAAACATATTTGTAAATGGGCTTTTTTCTCTTTTTTAAATTGTTTCCTTAGGGTAAGACTTATTAGATCAAAGTGTACATATGCATTTATGGCTCTTGATGTAGATTAGCCTTCAAGAGAACTGAATCAATTTTCTTAGCCATCAGCAATGCATGAGGATAGCTTCCCCTTCTTGCTGGCCTTGCCCTAGTTGTCAAGTTGTCCGTGCGAAATGAAACTACTGCATGTCAACATACAGCCCTATCAACTGTCCTGCTTGTCTTGGTTCCCTCAACTAAGCCATAAGCTCAGTGGCTGGCACTGTTCATCTGTCTGATGGAGTTTAGTGTGAGAAACCCAAATAGGGCTAGGTGTCCTTGAGATGACCTGGGGTCCACTCCCCTCTTTCCCTGTGTACCCAATTTCCCAAAATTATGATTCAGTCTTGAGCCCATAGTCCTCTCAGTACAGTGATTTCCAATGCACATTATTTCAAGTATATCCTAAGAATCTTGCCAAGGTGTTCCAGGGCCTACTTTATTGAGAGTCCCTGAAATTAGCATATTAGTTTGTAAATAAGCACTGGCTTGTTAATTATTCCCTCTAGAAATCTTAATTTAAACTAGTAATTTCTCAAGCAAACCCAGTCTTCATTGTGCTAAAACTACAGCCAGCCCAGGCCACATGTCAAAATCTGACTGAAGTCAGAATTTACAAGGTCTTAGAGCAAAAGGAATGTGTACTTGATTTCCTTTTTTTTTTTTTGGTACCGGGGATCGAACTTGGGTCCTTGCGCTTGTGCAGCAGGCGGCGAAACCACTGAGCTAAATCCCCGGCCCCAGGAATGTGTACTTGATACCTCTACATGTGACCCCAGTAGTGCTCCAAGTGGCTCCAGTGAGAGGGCTCATTCAGTTCAGCCAGCTGAAGGGAAATGTCCTAGTTCTCTCCTGGGATGAGATACTCGAGATATGTAGGCTCTGGAACAGAGGTATTTTCTCAGAGGAAAAAGTACTCAACAAACACTGGGTGAAACCACCAAAAAGGAAAACATAACTGCCAGGCACTAGCTACAAGGCCACACCAAATAAAGAAAACTGGGCCCTGTAGCATTGGGAGGATGGGAGCCATTCTTAGTCACCTCTTCCCCAGCACTGAGCACATACTAAGGTGCTCAGTTAGTGTTGAGTGAATGTGACTGCTCAGGAATATTTCCTGACAGCTGGGAGGAACTTAAACCTGTAAGTTCCCTTTCAGAAAGTCTCACCTGTGGTTTCCTATCTTCAAGAAGACACAATGAGGGAGGCCTCATAAGGGAACACAGACTGGCAGAAGGGAGTAGGGTGCATGCTAGCTCAGAATGCTGAAACCCTTCCAAAGGCAGTAACTGCCTGACTCCACTACACAGCAGCAACCTGATGGAGAGTTCAAAGCCAGAAAAGATTATATGAAAGCGGTTTGAGGATGTGGAGCTGCCCTAGGCTGCATGCAGTCACCTGCCAGCTTCTACCCTTCTCGCTGGAACACCACCTTGCTTTGCATCTCTGCAGTGGGCCTCGGCACGCTTGCCACAGCAACAGGCTCTGTCCTACATGGGCCCTGGCTTGATGACCACCCAGAAGCACCCAGCTGCTGGGCCAGTGAGTGCCTGTGCCCTCAGCTGAGCCTACATGGTGACATCTTCCAGCAAGGCTTGGGTGTTTGCCTCAGGCCCCTCACATCAGCCACTGCTCCTTCTCCTTGATGAAGTGCTCTGCCCAGCGGCGGGTCAGCTCCAGGTACAGGCTGGGCTGATGAGGCAGATAGTCCAAATACAGGCGAGTGGGTGTCTTCTTGGGAATGGCCTTCTCGATCTGTGTGCCTTCATGCCACTCATTGAAAGAGGTGATGGAGACGATCTCTGGCCTCACTGTCAGGGCTGCCTGCAGCGCTGTCTCATAGTACTTGCCATTGACCCTGTTCCGAGTATTGTGGTTGTTCCAGGGCCGGATGCTGGTGTCAATGTAGCCAGGCCCCACACTGGGAATGAACATGAGATTGTTGGCATCACAAAAGTTCTTCACAGCTTTCCAGTTCTGATGGGACGAGCCAAAGGAGAAACCATTGGAGGCAAAGTAGGTGTACATGCCATCAAATCCTGCTGCGAGGATGTCATGGGTGTGGCCCTCCTCTACCAGCAGAGCTATGAAGACTCCATCATACGGTGTGTTGCGGATTGAGTGGGGCCCATTTGGTGTCAGGAGGTGCGCCCAAGCCTCAGGGGTTGTCAGGTATGAGTCGTAGATATAAAAGAGTGGGAGGCTTTTGCCCATGCTGTTCTTATACCGGTAAAATGCACCATGGGAGCCATACCTGAAGAGCCAGGAGGAAGGAATCTGAGTTGGATGTAAGAAACCAGCACAACTATGAGAGCAGCCAGAGCTGTCATTCTCAATGCCCACTGCACAGTTTAGGACCCAGCCAGTCTCCACAGTGGAATTTACCAGAACAAAACCCAGCTTCCCTCTCTTTGTTCGTGAGCCCTACCATTCCTAAGGCTCACTGCCCCACCCCAAGCCAAGCTACCGTCATCTTTCATCTGGATTTCATCAGTAGCCACTTAACTGGTCTTCAGGCTTCCATTTTGCCTTCCTATGACCTATTCTTTATATTTATTTATTTGGTACTGGGGGTTGAACCCAGGACCTATGCACTAAGCTTCATTCTTAGCCCTTTTCTTTGTTTTTTTTTTTTTTTTTTGGTACCAGGGATCGAACTCTGGACCTTGTGCTTACAAGGCAGGCAGTGGCACCACTGAGCTAAATTCCCAGCCCTAGCCATTTTTTTATTTGGAGCTCTTTTTTTTTTTTGGTACCAGGGATCAAACTCGGGTCTTTGTGCTTGCAAGGCAAGCCGCAGAACCACTAAGCCAAATCCCTGGCCCTTGGAGCCCTTTTTTTATTAAGTTGCCCAGACTAGCCTCTTGCTTCAGCCTCCTGAGTAACTGGTATAGGTGTGCACCACCATGCCTGGCTACTTGTTTATTTTGAAACAGTCTCACGTAACTCAGGCTGGCCTTCAACTTAAGATCCTCCTGCCTCAGCCTCCCAGGTGCTGGGACCTTGAGTTTGTGAGGCAGGTGGCGGCACCACTGAGCTAAATCCCCGGTCAGGTCCATTCTAGTTTTTTTTTTCTTTGTACTGGGAATCGAACTTGGAACCTTGCACTTGTGAGGCAGGCAGCAGAACCACTGAGGTAAATCCCGAGCCCCAGTTCCATTCTGTTTTAAAAGTATAAATCAAGTTGATCCCAGCTTGGGCAACTTAGTGAGACCTTGTCTCAAAATACAAAATAAAGGGCTGGGGCATAGCTCAGGAAAAAGGCCCTGGGTTCAATCCCCAGTACAAAAAACGTGTGAATCAGATCTGACTGTTCCTCACCAGAACTTGCAAGGCCCCACCTTGCTCGATCTGGCCTCCCTACCCTATTCCTGCTATTATGCCACACATCTCACTTCCCATCTGGCCTTTCTATTCTGATGCTGTGTCTAGCTGTTCCATCTTACAGCCTTTGCATCTGTTACTCCCCTGTCTGGAATTTTCCCTCTGCCCCCAGATCTCTACAGAGCTGACTTTTTTTTCTTTCTGATGCTGGGTATTGAACTCACGCATACTAAGCAAGCTACATGCTCTCTCATCTTCTTTTTTGCTTAACCATATTTATTGTTTGTAAGTCTGAAAGCTGGTAGGTCCAAGATCAAGGTTTCTAACATATTTGGTTCTTGGTGAAGGCTCCCTCCCTGGCTGGTGGATGGCCCCCATCTTGCTGTGTGCTCCCAGGGCTGAGAACCAGAGCTGACCCTGAATTTAGGGCTCAACACTGTGTACTAAGAGAGGTGTCCCTGCCCAGCCCTTCTAAAGTTTCTTGAGGGCTAAGGTTGTAGATCAGCCTTTATGCTTAACATATTTTATTTGATCCTCACCATTACAAAAAAATAAGTTTTTTGGGCACACTCTAATACAAAACCCTGCATTATTCCTTTTTTCATAGCATGAATTATTCAGTTTTTCATGTTTAATTATTTCTGGCTCCACTGCACCCCTAACACACACTAGAATGTAAGCATGAAAGCAGAAGCCTTGCTTCTACCCATTACTGTATAATGGGTGGGCTAAGAAAAGTACCTACTACATATAAGCACTCAGTAGATATTTTTTAAATGAATATGTCCAAGTACTATAGAAACCACTTTTGCATGTATTAACTTGCGTAACTCTCACAAGATTCAAAGCTTAAGAGGCTTGCCTCTGATCACAGATTAGAGGGCACAGAACTAGAATTGAAACCCAGGTTACCTATCTTCCTGTAAAAACAGCTGCTGGGAACACATGCATTCTGCTCGTGTCTCTTGATCTGGCCCTCCAAACCTATCCCTACATCCATTTTGATTCCCATCAAAACCCCAGTCCCCAGAGCAACCTTACGTGTCAATGATGTACTTGATGTTGTCATGTACAGTGCTGTCATCCCGGCCCTTGTAAGGTTGGATGTGGAAGGCCACCTGCCACAAACACAGGAGTTACTGGTCAGATGAGTATCTTTTCAGGAGCCACAGCATATAAGGCTCATGCCCCAGCCATGGCCTGGAAGATCTGACAATGGACCCAAAGGCTGTCACTGCCCTTCTGTCTAAAAAAAAAAAAAAAAAAACAGGCAAGAAGTTTGCCCACTTCCCACAACAGGGCACTAAGAGTCCTTCTAGTGGGCTGCTACAGGATGCCTATCAGGCTTCAGCTTATGTGCCAGCTCTAAGTGATTGGTACCAGCTGCCTGAAACATTGGAAAGAAGTCTGCTGAAGCTGTGTCCATGGGAAAATGAGCTATGATCCATTAAACGTGGCAGCGATGGACTCAGGGGGAGTTGGGCTTCTCACTGTCATTTTCTTCCTTTGCCACAGAAGTGGGGATTGACTTAATTGGTTCTTCCTAAAGGTGAGACTTCCTGCTCAGCACTTGGGTTCTGCTCCACTCCTCAAGTCCTGGCATTGCCTTCTACTTGAGAGCAAAGTCCAGAATTCAGTCTGCAGGTTCATTTGGCTCTTGCCTCCCCTTATCCAGGGTCAGAATCTTCAACCTAATCTATTACTACTTAATAAAAGGGATATTTAGTCTCCCGTTTCCTATATTTAGTTTTCTCAATTTTTCTCAAGAAAGAGTGACATAGGCACTCTGTATTAGCACCTTCCCCTGACACCACACTTGTTATGTATTTGCCATCCCTGGGCTGCACCAAGAACTTCCCTAGAGACACTATGGGCAGACAGTAACTTTCCAGAATGGGAGAGTACATCACCCCTCCTTGGAGACTCACCTGGATGTTGTACTGATGGGCAGTGTCTAGAATGGCAGGTACCAGGTCATCTGAGGGTTCCCCATTATCATCAGCCATGCCAGGTGGGTACCAGGAGAGGACCAGGACGCCTGAGACACAACACAGAGGCCACTTCAGAGGTACACAGTACCCTTCATCAGAGACCTTCTTCTCACACATCGTCTCCAACTGTAAAATGACTCCTGAAAACCTGCCAGGTTCATTTCCTGCAGCGCACGCCCGCGCTTAGGAGCTGTCCACGCCAGCGGTGCTGAAGCTCCGCTCTCCACATGTAGGGCACTATCCCTCGAGGAGCCCGGCTTTGAGCGCCTCAGCAAGGAGCAAAAACAAAGAGGAGAGGTTGGCAATGCCACACCCACCTGGAAGCCACAGTCCTACTCTGAAGAGAAGCACCTCTGGGGAGAAATCATCTCGGTGCTTCTGGTGGGAAATACATAACATTGATATGACTGTCCTCAACCCTAAATCTGAAGAGTGGCCCCTATTGGATTCATCACCCCTCTCTCTCTGTCATTCTGTATTTCCCCCCTCACTTAACGACGAACCATCTCCAGGTACATTAAAATGTACTGTAAAGTCGAGCAGAATACAAACCAGGTGTGCTTCCCCAGCCCAGCCTACATGGGTGGTTCCCAGGGATCTGTCTTCTAGCTAGGCACTTGATGAATCTCCCAGGGACTATCATGCAACATGGGCAACTTTCCTCTCAGCGGCCAGCAAAAGCAGAAAGGGCTGCTGCCCTCCCCAGCACCTGGTATGAAAGAGCTGTCCCAGACTACTCTGAACCGCAGAGTCCTGAGCGGCCAGGATACCTAGGCCTCACTTTTCTGGAACCTGGACACCCAACAGATTTGAAGTCTCTGCCTCCCTCTCCTTGCTGTCCCTACCTCGGACAGCTCTGGTGCAACCCCCTCAGCAGCTCTGCCGATAGAACAGCCCTGAAATTATTGGGGGTCAGAAGAGGCCGTCGGAATCCTAGCAGGGGTAGGGAGGCACAGTGGACCTATGATAAGAGTGGCAGGAAAGAGCTAAGAAGTCAGGCTGGCAAATGAATGGGACCAAAAGCCCGGTGATGGCGACAGCAGGAGCTGGGGTGTGGGAAGGAGGGCGAGGCTGGGAGACAGGCCTGCCTGGGGTGCGGGGAGCTCACCGATGGCGGCTTCCTTGAGCTGGGTCATATGTTCCCGCAGCACGTCGGGGTCCCGGGAGCTGTAGGGGCCCAGCTGCGGGTAGAAGCTGGAGCCCAAGTCTTCCGGGGGGCTGTGGCGGCCGCGGGGATAGCTGGCCGATATCTTGGGGTCCCAGTGTGGCACCATAACGTGGTCCCAATGGATGTAGTGGCCTTCGCGCCGCGGGCTCCCGTACCACGAGTAGTAGAAGGCGTGCAGGTCGGAGTAGACTCGCAGGCTCTGCCCGGGCGCCGGCTCGGCCTCCGCGGGGACCGGGCCGAGCGAGCTGCGGGGCTC